GTGGGGGGGGGGGGGAGATGTGACCCCTGAACTTAGCTTTGCTTTGACAAAAGCACTTTTATGATCTGCACTCCATTATTGTGTTGCATTCAGCAGAAGTGCCATCAGTGTTGTTCTGGAGTATAGCTCATGGGGCATTGAAAGGGGAACAGAGGTGCAGGAAAAGGCGGGTGAAGTTTACTCTGTGTTCGGACTCCAGTTCCTACTCAGAGTTTAAGTGTCTGCGCTCCTGCAGCTGTTGCTGGCAGCCCTGAGTCTGGGGTCGCAGCAATGCCCAGGAAAGCAGGCATGGGTGGCCATGACCCCTGTAGCTCAGAACCATTCAAATGGCAGACAGTGGGCTGAACAGTTCCTGGTCTTCACCAAAGTCTCACCTATGACGTGTCCTGTGGTTCCTGAGCACAATCCCATGGTTTTTCCTGGTTTCCCATAAAGCAGGTGTAATTTGTCATGGTTATTTTCAGGCTCAAGGGAAGCAAGTTGCTTGAATCAGGCACCACATCCAGCTGAGCAGACTTTGGGAAAACCATTCAGCAGACTTCAAGAGAGATGAATCAAATGGCACGGCTTTAAAAACCTTACCCGGAGCAGGTAAGTCAGTCAGTGCTAGAACTCGCATGTCAAAGCAGACACATCCTTCCCCAGACCTGGGAGACCACAGCCTGTTCCTCTTTAAATCTGTGCTGTGTGCTGCAGTGCTCTGCATTGTTGCCATGGCAGAAATCTCCCCATAGTAATAACCTCTTTCAGAGAAGGTTAAAAAGAGACAGTGCACATGCTCAGAAATGCTGCACTTGTTCTGTTAGCAGTTTGCAGCGGCCATTTCAAAGAGACCATCACAAAGACGAGAGAGAGATCAGGTACTGATTTTTTCTTTCCTTTGTTAGAGGGGGTGACTTTTCTCTTTCACAGAAGTCCATGCACAGATCTGTCTCCGTTCCCAGTTGCACTGCAGAGACCACCCTTGAAGCCTGTCATGATTATTCCTTGCAGATAGCAAATTCCCGCGGAGTAACTAAGAGGCAGTAGTTAGATGTGATCTGAGGTGATTCCTGCGCTCGGGGAGCAGTTGTTTTGCAGTGGGGCTCAGATACGAATCTGAGCTGACACTGGAATGGATGATATGTGAGGTACCCTGAAAAAGTTTAACAGCATATCTGCTTTGTTTTGTTGAACCTTTGTAGCACTCGTAGTCAACTATGAGAACAGCCTCTGCTCCTGCTGACCAGGAAGCTTCTGCATTAGGTACTTTCAAAGGAGGCTGGTATTCTTCTAATTTACGGTTCCTTGGACACTCTGCTGCATCCTGTTGCAAAGCCTGGTGTCTTTGATTGTACTTGCTTTGATTGCAGATCATCATTAATTAAAACAGAAAACGTAAGCCACTTGTTATGATTTTAATCCCTTTATTTTAAGGATTGTAGAAAAAAGAAAAAGGATCATGTCAGATCACTTCTAAACAGTGGGAGGGATGGGAAACTCAGTTCTGAGGTTGTAGGAATTACATTACCAGATCTTTTTTTTTTTTTTGGTGCGGGCCCAAATATATCTCTGACTCTACATGTATGTGTGTGTCTCTTGCTTCTGAACTAGCCCCTACTCTTATGTTTAGGTTGAGGTGCACAGGGAGGGGATGTGTGTAGTGCTGCTCCTTTCCTGGATGAATTGCTGGTTTGCACATGCTGCAAGCGTTTGTGCAGAATTTGCTGCTTCAGATTAGCTGTGGCTGAAACAGGGGATTGCATATATCAAAAGGCAAGCTTGTTCTGTTCTGTATTTGGGCAAGATGAGGAAAAACCTTTCCTTTCCTGCCTCTATTGTGCTTCCAAACGTGAAATACAAGCTCTTTGGGGGAATGCTGTACTCTTGCATTCAGTACATGCAGATTTGATATTCTTATGCAACATCTTTTGCTTAGTATGCACTAACTTAGAAATCAGGAAGAGACAGAATGTTGTCCTGCTTTCCCAGGTGTAGCTAAAGAGATTTTTCATGTGGATTTTATTGTGTTGCTATAACTTAACCTTATTTGATTCTTTCTTTCTTCCATTTGAACGTACAGGAACGGAAGGTAAACTTGGCTAAACTAAGGACCACCCTAACAGTTTGCCAGGATCCTTGAGGCTTGGATTGACATCTGTAACAGACAGTTGCAACCTGAGCCAGTCCAAGTTTCCTGTGTTCCCTCTTGATCTAAACAGTTTACCTGTTGGACCAAGAAAATACTTAATTTGAAACCTGTGTACTTATAAAAAATTTTACCTCTGTGTGAGGGGGAGTTGTTGCTGGACCAGGCTGTACCTGTCTTCAGGACATAGCATGGCCTGGCTGTGATGTCCAGGAACAAATGGGTGGCTGCGCATAAAGGTCTGAAGCCCAGATTAGGAGGGGAAACAGAAGATCAAAGAGTTTTGATGCACTTCTAATTAGAAGTTCTACCTATGAATTTGTGAAGGTTTAACAAAAGTCTTTTCCTTCAGCTGCTTTCATAAAGGAGTAAGTTTTTATGATCAGTGTGGTGTGTGGTTAATGATAATGGTTACCTTTAGTTATTGTACTGGTGAAAAGATGGTGCATCAGTAAAGCAAGCCAGAGGGTAAAAACCTCATTTCTAGGTTCAGGTCTATTTCAGCCAGCTCTATAACCCCTGCAGTTTTCATCTCAAAGTCGAACAGCGAACTAGCTGTCAAGATTCATGGGCTAGTCTGGGACTGTGTAGTTAGAAAGGAGATTGGAGTCACCGAGCAGGCAAAGTTGCAGGTATCCTAGCTTGCAAATGAAACCAAAAACTGTCTAGGGTCTTCTGATCTTCACCTTCATGTCTAGGCATGTTATGTCCCAGTTGGGTTTTATGTGGACTGCTGGAAAAGTACATAGAACGTTTGTCCATGCTCTAGATCTGCTACTTTTTTTCTTCCAGAGAAAGACTGCCAGTGCTTTAGCAATGAGGAACATTAAGTTCTTTGTAACAAAACCCTTGTACCTGTAATGTTCTTAACTTGTTTATGTTTCTTGATAAACAGAGAAACACCCATTCCCAAGATGCTGGCACCCTGCCTTCCGAGAAGGGCGGTCCTTACAGTTCCTTTAGTTTTTGTGGTTGCACTGCTTCTCACGGAGCCTGTTAGATCTGATCAAGAAGTAGGAACAGCCATACCAGCCGAAAGTACGTACCACCCTACAGTCATCTCATACGGCTTGTGCTGTGGTTTTAACATTGCAGGACTTCACATCACTGAAGCTTGTCAAAATAATTCAAACTATTTTGGACATGTCTTGCTTATGTTGTCTTAAACCCGCAACCCAGCATACCAGCGCTGTTTTCCTCCTGCATCCAAGGCTCTCCACTCTCTTACCCTTATTTCCCGCCTGTTGTCTTGCTTGTACCCGAAATCTGCCACTGTTCTGCACCTTGTCTTTTGTACAGCCCTTTCATTGTGTTAGCCCTTTCTCTGCCAGGAATAACCCTGTTTGCTTCTCAGAGACGTTATTGAGACTTGCTTTTTTCAATGGACATTAACTGTTCATCACACCTTTCATTCTTAGTAATGTCTACTGTATTAAAATCAGTAGTTTATATTAAAAAAAAAACCCCACGATAAATATACCAAAAAATCACACTTTGTCTTGCAGCCTTCCAGCACGTAATTCTCCCTTGCTGATCTGTGTTGAGTTTATTTTACATCATAAACATAATGACAGGTCCTTGCATCAAGTTGTTGATGTGGAAAATGCTGTCCTTTCCGTTTTTTCTGGTGTAAATATAATAACGCTAAGATTGGGTGGTGGTACAACAATGACAGAGGAGGTCTTTAATACTGCTCAATGTTTATCTGTTTGGATTTTTTTTTTCCTTAGCCAGTTAAAGAATTTGGCAGACTTCTTTCCTCCAGCAGGCAGGATTCCTGTCTGCTGGTTAGCACACAGATCATGAGCTGGAAGCTCGTATTCCGGCTTATCAGAGGCATGTAGTAATCAGTCAAATATCAAGTGTTTGCAAAATAGGCTGACAGACACTGCAGGATTTTCAAACATCACTCTAGGTTTCATCCTTCCATACCAGACCTCAAAAAGCAAACTAAATTTGCGCTCAGAAGTTCTCACTTGCGCAATATTTCCTATGAAGTTGTCAGAGAGGCACAGGCACTGAGGAGCAGATAAGAGCATATGTAGAGCCTGATGATTTGAAGATATTTCATCATGTCTATATTTTTTCTGTCTCAGTACTGTTATCTGTTAGGGCATAGCTTTGTGTTACATGATGATCAAGGCAAAACAAGCCTTGTGACCTTCAGTCTGCATATCTAGATATGGGAATACTATCTTAAACACTTCAATTAGTCCAGAATGCAGCAGTTCTGCTTATCAGCAATGCCCACTAGTGACAGGACATTGTGTTTATCTGCTACTCGCTTCACTAGCTTTGGACAAAGCCATATCATGTTCAAAGTTAGAGGCTAAGTGATCCAGCTTTGTGATATTGTAGTCAATTTTATTCCATTAGCTTTCTATTTAGAGCTCAAGTTTGTGAGATTAGGAGACAGGATTTTCTAGGGAATAGGTTCATGGTTTTGGAGGTAATTTCTGAAAAATCTGAAAAAACTAAAGATGAGGCTGAAAATGTGCTTGGAGTTGGTGGAGCAAAATGAAAGACTAACTTAGGGGTTTAGCATTCCCTCACTATGAACTGTGACAAGAAATTAATGAGGGGAACAGCAATAAATGAGGAAGAAATTTTTTAATGCAATTTGTTGAAGTAATTCTTTTGTCCTTGTGAGACTGAGTGGATCATCATGATGGACCATTTACAGTAACCTGGATTGTTCAAGAGTACATACATCAGTACTCTGTGGACTTTCTGTAGCTCTTCCTCATGCTCAAAATCACTGCTTACTCCTTGTGCTTAATACTTCGTGCCATGTTGTCTACTAAATGCTCTACTAAATGCTGTCCTAGGTCGTCCTTGTGTTGACTGCCATGCATTTGAGTTCATGCAGAGGGCTCTGCAGGATTTAAAGAAGACAGCGTATAATCTAGACACGCGGGTAAGGACATATTCAATTTTTTTAATTATTATTTAATTAATATGGAAGAAAATGGTGTGGATAAAAGTAGACAAGGTGGATGGATTTTGCACAAGACACTCAGTCAACTGTACTGTCCTGTGTCCTAAGGTGAGGCTGGGTAACCACATTCTACCTCTCTATGCAATAATCTGTGGAATTCTTCTGCCTTGGTCTATCAGGGTCACTAGGAATTAGAGTGAATTGACAGTCCTGTGTCCTTCTCTTACGAGTTACAGCCATCAGTGCTGCTGTTCTCATTCCAAATGCTGAGTGCACACCATTGCTTTTATGTTAGGAGGAGCAAGGTGAAAGCATCATTGATATTTATTACCCAAAAGGAGAGAGCCAGCTCAAACCGAAAAGCCTACTGAACTAAAATACTCCCCTGCACATGCTTTACCCCTGAGGAGAGGCTAAGGGAGGATACACCATCTTGTAGATACTTTTTGCATTGCTCTGGTTCCATAATGATGAGAAACGCCACAAAGTAGAACAGCAGAGGGAACGGAACTTGTTTGGCTTGCAGTCAGTGGGGAGAATGTGCCAAGGCTGGTGTCTTCCTTCTGTGAGGGAAGTTGAATCTGTCTCTTGCTACTGCAACCCGCAATCTGTGACTAGCTGTATCCCAGCTGCTGTCAGATAGTGGTGTCTCAGGAGGGCAGCTTTTTCCCCTACTCCTGGGTACCCTTTAGCTGAAGCACTATATCTACACTCTTGCACAGATTTTTCAACAGAAGGAACTCAAACTTTTTGCTTTTCTGACCTATGGTCAAGGTTGTTCACAGTTCAAAGCCTGCGAACTGGCATCTGTGAAGCATGGTTTGAGGTAAATCCAAGCAGGGTCCATGATGTTTAGGTGAAAATGCAGGTGCAGGAATGAAGATGCCTTGAATTGTGACATACTACAAAAACCAAACAAACATTCCAGCAGAACCAGATTGGTGTGTAGTACATTTACAGTTAAACAAAATCTGTTCAATTATTACAGGTCAAATGTATTTTGGGCTTCTTCATGAAGAAATCTTTTTAATGAATACATCTGCTGAGCACTGTGTACAGCCCAAACAAAATGTTTGGATTGTGCCATGAAGTTTTTCTAGCACACCTTTTCCTTCTTTTATAAACCTTTGAACTTTTCACCAGCGTTTCTAAATCTTGATTAAAAAATATCTCAACTACTAAAATCTTCTCTGGTTGTCTGGCTATGCAGTGACCTTTATGACACCTACAGCTTGCAGGCCAATAGAGAAACTTTATAAAATACAGCTATCCAAAGCAGGAGTAGCAATAAGGGCCCCAAAGATAGCAACTGCATTTTAATACTTTTAAAAAATAAAAGACAGCCAAGAAGAGGAAATGAGGATACAAAAAAGGTTTGGTTGAGAGGAATATCCTATTATTGATTTCCACAGTTGTAGATTTGACAGCAAGCGTGAAAATGTGGCTCCATGATATATTCTCACCAAAACAAACCTATTACTTCCGTATCACTTTAAAATCTAAAGAATTGAATCCAGACTGAGATCTTTCAGTGCCTCTGGACAAGGGCAGGCCTATTGCACTCATTAGCCTAGGACTTTTGCCTACGTCTTCAAAATACATGGAAATATTTAATAGTTGAGGACTTCTTTGAACTGCCTTCTACAGTGTTTCAATTCTTAGTTTTATTATTCAGCTGTGGCCCAATTTGATGCAAAAATGGGAGTTTAAAGACAATTGCTTTCAGCTACATGTATATTTTACATTTGACTATTCTAGTGCTGCTTAGTGGGGCAAATGTTTCTGTCCTCAAAAATGCAATTCCCTTTTTTAATATTCCCACTGGAGACGCTAATTTCCTTGAAAAACTCTTTTTCATTTGCAGGCAAGATTTTTAGATGATGACTAAGCAGCTCCTAACTGTGTTGGAGGGGGAGGGATTCCCAAAAGCTTAGAGAGGAAATTCCCATTTAATTCCTTCTGCAGATCTCACCCTGCAGTTCTGTACAGGGGAAACCATATAGTTTTATTGCACAACTGAAGAGTTTTCACACTTAATTTGGCCCTGTGTTGGTCTGCATGGTGTCTCACAAACAGACTGTAGCACAGGTCACGTAACTTTTTATGGGGCCATAGGCTGTATCTTCTTCCTTTTACAAGACTAGACATGTTTGTAACCTACACTGATGTGATGATCACTTACTGGTTGACAGACTGGCTGCATTTTACTCTGGTGCTAAGAGAAGGGTCACAGACCACCTCTGAGAGGCTGGCTACTACCCATGCATATACCAGACCTGCTTTCCACCCTTTCCTTTTTGCTGGCCCCTTGGGGCAGGCTGCAGGCTGGATTAGTTGTTTTAACAGCAGTAACCAACTCTGGGCAATCTTTTCTGGGGATATCTGTGATTCACCACTCAGCCCAAGTGTAGTACGTGGCAGGTGCGGCTCTGATCATGAACTAGGGAGGGGATTCTGGTACTGCTGGGAGGGAGCTGCTGCTGTCAAAACCATTCAGCCGGTTCACAGCAAGCTCCCTACTGCATCTAAGAGCTGCTCAAGACAGAGGCCAGCAGGGAGCAGGCCATAAAACAAAACCTGTAAAACAAATCCAGTCCATGGGCTACACAGCTCACTGTAAGTCTGCACTATAGACACTTATTTTCAAAATTCCAACCCATTTTTTAAAGTCAACCAGTGGACATTGCATTACAACTTTAAAGATCTCAGGAACTGCAGTTTTAGCTGGAACTTATCAGCTTTTTTGTAGGTTCAGAATCTGGACCCTGCCCTGTTGGTTTTTCGGGGGTGTTTTTTGTTGTTTGTTTTTTGTGTTTGTTTTTTTTTTTTTTAACCATGCTTTAACCCACCAGAGGATAATAACAAATCTCTCTACAAATCATTTCATGATCATGCTCACAAAACAGACAGTAAAGCTGTATTTAGCGCCATTCGTTTTGTTCTTTATTCCTTTCTAAACTGCCAATGGTTATTTGGATTGTTCAAACCACGTTAAGTTAGATATACCCATGGAAGTAAACACAAAGGCTTGAAAATGTTATTAAAATAGATTTTTTTTTTTTTAAAAATAATTTTTAATATATATATAAAGATCTATAAGATGGTAAGCAGCCTTGGGGCTTAGCTTCAAAGCTGTTGACATGCTTTCGACCTCCCTTATTCAAACCATTGCAAATGAAGTCAAGAAGATGGTTAGAAGGTGGTGGTTGAGTGTCTTTTAGGTTATTAGCAAAGTCTGATCTGATCTTTTCAGTTTTGCAGGGTAGCTGAAACAATCAAAAGCAATACCTGATTTAACATAGAACCACAAGGCTATGTCTAGTGATTTATCACTTGACCAATAGATAGCTTTTCCTGTACTAAGAAGGCAGGTAGTAAGCAGGATGCTTCAGCCTAGCTCTGCTCTAAGTGCCTGTAGCTGATGTGGGTCAGTGGATAATACAGCTTTTAAAACACAGCCTTTAATCACATGGCAATTCCATCTCATACAACAATCACAAGACAGACAGATTAAGAATGGATTTCAGTGGCATTTAGAGCTCGTAGTCTTCATAATGCCCTTTTTTTGTGTAGCTGGTTACACCAGTGGGGATTAATTTGGTGAGTGGACTTTGCACAGCTAGTGTGTCCCATGACGGTAAGGAGGAGGTCCTCTCTTGATCAGACTGATTCTCAGATACAGCTTCAGTTCATGATAAATGAACTGAAATAAAGGTACGAAGTTGATGTCAAACAGCTCTGTGCTCCCTCATGCTTCTACTGAAGTCATAAGTGCTCCAAACCACCAGGAAAACCAAAGTGTATGAGTGCTAGAGAGGAAGGATTCTCAAATTTCCCTTATGCGGCCCTGCTGTCCCTCCCTGGTCCTCAGCCCTTTCTCACACAGGTAGGCTGAGAGGGTGCAGGCCTTTCGGATCATACCCAGGTCCAGCTCTGAGAGGTTCCAAATCTGCCCTCTCTGCTCCAGAAAATCCCTGTGGGCAGCAATGATCTCCTGATATTGATGAGCCCCCGTTCAAATGGGGGACCTCTGCTTTCACCAGTTTGGGACCCCTTTCCTTAAAGAAGCCAACAATCTCATCACATGTTTGAGCTGCAGTGGCTGTGTGCCAGCTCACAACCTATCGTCTGTTTTAGGCTCCAGCAGCGTATTAACTATAACAGTGAAGCAGGAGAAGTTAAAACAGAAGTAAATGTCACTGAGAGGGTGGTCGGTCACTGGAACAGGCTCCCCAGGGAAGGGGTCATGGCACCAAGCCTGTCAGAGTTCAAGGAGCATCTGGATGATGCTCTTAGTCATATGGTTTAGTTTTAGGTAGTCCTGCAAGGAGCAGGGAGTTGGATTTGATGATCCTTATGGGTCCCTTCCGCCTTGAGCCATTCTATGATTTTATGATTAAATTATGCCTTACTTTCTCTGTCTAACTTTCGACAATGAGTCCAGGCTGTAATACACTAAATTTAATTTTTTGAGTATGTTTTTAAGTAAAAAGAAATTTTCTGACAGGTTTTGAGGGGTTTTTTTTAGGCCTCTCATGAAGGGCTTATGCTCCAGTTTGTGCAGTGGAAGTAAGATTGTAAGAAGGACAAATAACTTTAAACAAAAATAACAGCAGACACATGCTGAATGTACTAATGTGAAAAACATGAATGTGTACCATACTGAATTTCTCCATGTCACAGGAAGTATTGCCGTGTTGGTATGCCAATTCATCATGCAAAAGCCAAAGTATTTTGCAGAGCAATAAGCAATAACTCTGGTTTTTACCCCAAGCCTTATCTCATACAACCAAGTCCAAATTTTAGAACAAAAGTAAAATGGACTTTTCTTTGGGAGCTGATTAGTTTTACAATGCTAACACTTGTTTTTTGATGTTGCTTTTGTTGTAGACAGAAACTCTGCTTCTTCAGGTGGAAAAGAGAAATCTGTGCGACTGCGTGACTGCAAATCTGCTGAACTGAATCCTGGAGGCCAGCTAAGGAGTATCACCTCTTCAGCGGTTTTTAAAATGCAGCTGTATAAAATACAGCTTTATGGAGTTCATGTTGCAAGCATGTATGCCCCAATGTACTGAGGAAACTGGGGGGCTGTGTCTTATGTATTTGTCTGTTCTGTTTTTTTCTTAAAGGAGTACCCTCTTTTCACACTGGTTTGCCAGTAAGGGCTCAATTCAGAAAATCTATTACTTGGTATTAGAGTGGGCAAAAAATTTACCTGCTTTGATTTCTAAATCAGAGTTGGCCAAGTGTAACCCACAAGATAAATATGGCCAGCAGTGCTCTAAGGACACTTGCAGATGTTCTTTGTCTCTAATACGAGCATATCTCTCTGGCAACTTGCCCAGTTACATTGACACGGGGGATTGTGGTCTCTGTAGGCTTTACCTGTGTATTAAAGATGATGGAAGTCCTTTCTGTTTGTTGTCTGCACTGTGACCACATCAGGCATGTTGTAATTCTGTCAGCTGTAATGAGGTATGTGTCCTGAGGAGCTATAGGTGTGCTGTACTTGGACCAAAACTTGGACAAAAAAAGTTTATGTCTTAGTGCTGAGTTTTCTGGTATCCTGCATAAGAGTATTGTCTTCTGTAATTAAAACCTTTATTTTCTTGCCCTCCTTCCCTGGACGCTCCATTCTTAACCCACTTGTCTCTAAACAGCTTTATCTTATCAGGTCAAATGGATAGAGTAGAAAAAGGAGAATAAGGGTATGACTAGGCAGCCTTGCCAGTTCCAGCTGTACCAAATGCTACTATAAGCCACAGCTCAACATCACATTGAAACTTCTGTGCAGTGTCAAGAAGTTTCTTCATGAGAGTGCTCCTTATTTTACTTCAGGTGAAACACAGTCGTTAGGTCACGTGTATTTGGTTCATTCTGTGAGGGACTGAACTCCGAATGTTTTGGTCTTTCCCTGTTGTTGCTTTTGAAAGCTGCTTTTTTTTTTGGTTTAGGTGTGAAGAAAGGCTTGTATACCTGAAAGCTGAGATTATTGTTATCCTCAACTCTACCACTTTATTCTGAGATACAGTGTCCACTCACAAGTCTGAATTAGGCTGAGCAGTTTGAGCAGATACTCTGAGTTTGCTTGACATGATTTAGAGCTGTCTTGAACCACTCCTAGCAGTGGCACTGTGGGATGCTATCCTGGGTTGGGGAGCAGATGGAGGTGAACATCTGAAGGCCAAAATCTCTTCAGCTGAATTTGGAAGAAAGTGCCTGCCTGCAGCCTTACTTCTCTAACTAAACTGGTGGGACTTTACTGGCAGTGGATGAGAGAGGAAACACAACTACAGCTCTGCCAGTGCAGCTGTAGGTATGGTAACAAACATCTGGGGGAGTAGGGGGACATGATAGACAGCCTCAGTGGCTTGCCAACCCCGTCCAGGGCTTGGAAAACCAATTCCTGCACACTGAGAAATGCAGCATGTCCTTCTGCATGGGACCAGGACATAGGCCAGCACAGAAGCTCCGTGTCAACTGAAGAGGGGTTCTGATGTTATTTTTCCAAATTCCCTCAAGAACCTGTGCTGAGTGTTTTTCACTAAGCCCGTTCACACAGCGTGGGAGCACTGGCACTGCTCATATCTGGCTGCTTGGCAAAACAAAAGTAACTGCAAACCTTACCTGCAGCTCCACTCCCAGAGAGTGGGAAGGGGCAGCAGTCCTTACTCATGCATGGCACAGCATTCTCTGGACTTCTTGGAGCAAAGTCTCCTTTGGAGGGCTTCAGCTGATCCTGTAGCAGAATGGCTGCTCAGAGCTTCTTGGCTTTTGCTGTGCTTGGGTTGTCCCCATCTTGTTCTAGCCTGGCTTTGTTCCTCTTCTTTGCTCTGGGTGTGCCTTGGCTCTCCTCTCCAGTGCAACCTCCATTCCTCCTTCCAGTCTAGTATTGCCCTCTCTTTAGGCCCAGGGATTTCTCACTGAACCCCTGGCCCCCCATCCTGATGACTCTGTAGGTAGTCACTGCAAGCGTGGGCAGTAGGACTGATACTCCTCAGGTCAGTAGTCCCTCCTCACGTGAGCTGTCCCTTTAGATCCAACTGGCAGCACTGCAGGAGCAATGAGGGGCACTTCAATTTACCATGGAGTGAGTGAACATGGTGCTGAACAACACTGGTATCTCATTCCCTGTCCAGGGAAGACATTGCAGGGAAGGGCCTCTTTTTACTTGGGAAGCCAACATTCCCATTGCAGAACTTGAAGGAAGTCACAGAACAGTTCAGGTGGTGAAAACTCTGCTCTCAAAACTGAGTTAGTCTGTGGCCTGTCCACCAGGATGCTATAATCTCACCGGCTTGTTAAAGGTGTGGACAGGAAGCCACCTGTGGTCAGCCACTGGTTTTGCCAGGTGTTGAGTGATAAGATGTTCTGGCACGACTGGAAGCACCTGTACATCTTGATGAATTTTTCCCTTGGTGTCTGCACAGACAGCAGCTTGAACAAAAGAAAATCTGACCATGTGGAAATATTTTCCTTCAGTCATTTTGCTACAACTCTACCTTCTGATTCGCACTGATAGAACTGCAGTAGTAAAACTCAGAACATAATAGCTGTTGCCCCAAAAGAAAGCAGCCAGGAGGGGGATAGATGGGGAAAGGGGAACTTTCTCATTCTATTCCTCAGAATCTGAAAAACTAAAGATTCCTTTCAATCTGCAGAAGATCCATTATAACCATCATAACTAGGACATTCCTAGTGGAAATTGCTGTGTGCTCCTTTAAAGCCCACCTTACCTATTTTTCTTTAGTTGAATGACTGTTCTGTATTACCTCTTGTTCAAAACGATCAAAATAGCGTGAGAGCAGAAGACAGCTAATATGTCGCCAGTTCTGAAAAATGATTGGGAGGGAGCTCTGGGAATTGCACCCAGCAACCATAATGTCTGTTCTGGGCAAGTGAACAGAAACTTTTGAAAGATTTGAATATGTAAACTTAGGTTTAATATGACACAGTGCCAAGAGTCAAGACCATTTTTGTAGAGCAAAAGAATACAGCAGAATCAGATAAACTGCTGATAAAAGCAGCTGGGATAATCCAAAATAATGCGCAGACTAGGAGTCTTCAGTCTGGACAAGAGATGACTGAAGAAGGTGATAGAAGTTTATAAAACCATGAATGACTAGAGAATGACTGTTTGCTGTCCCTTCCCAAACAAGAAGTGGGGTGCACTGAACAAAACCAGCTGGAGGCAGGGTCAGAGCAAATAAGTTCTTGCCCTACTGCATGTTTCAGTTGTGGAAGTCCTCATTGCAGGATGTTGCTGATGCTAAAAATTTACGTGGGTTTAGAAAGCACCTGTTCAGACTCATGCTTGAAGATCCTATTGCAAACTGTTAAATATAAAACCACCAAGGTCCCTGATCCACGAGTTGTTGCAAGTTAACAGTGTTTTAGGAAGACG